GTGTCAACGTAGGTTCGGTGGATAATAGTGTCATTGATCTCTGTGCGGATGACGAGGGCGTCCCTGTGTGGGGAGGACACCGGGGGGAGATCAGCGTTGGTGAAGATAATGGCCAGGGTATTCCAAGTTGTCCTAGGGCGCACCATGGAGGCGTATGTTGACGACATGATCGTCAAGAGCAAGCAATCAGCAAGCCATGCTGATGACCTGAGGCAGATCTTCGCCATCATGCAGAAGTTTAGCCTTCGGCTGAACCCAAAGAAGTGTACCTTCGGCGTTCAGGGGGGCAAATTCTTGGGCTACATGGTGAGCCGAAGGGGTATCGAGGCCAACCCCGAGAAGATCCAGGCCATCATCAACATGGAGCCCCCACGCAACGTGAAGGAGGTCCAACAGTTGACGGGCCGTCTGGCAGCCCTCAATCGCTTCTTATCAAAATCGGCGGAGAAGTCCTTACCCTTCTTCCAGATCATGAGGAAAACTGCCGGTTTCCAGTGGACTTCAGAGTGTCAGGGGGCGTTCGAGGAGCTGAAACGGTACTTATCCTCACCCCCTGTGCTCTCTAAACCCAAGATAGGGGAGATCATGTACCTCTACTTGGGTGTTAGCCCGGCTGCCATCAGCTCAGTACTCATCCGGGAAGAGGATGGCATCCAGCATTCCATTTTCTATGTTAGCAAGACCCTCAGGGAGACGGAACTCCGGTACTCCCCCGTAGAAAAAACGGTGTTGGCTATCGTATGGACCGTCAAGAAATTGGGCCATTACTTCCAAGCTCACCCGGTTCAGGTCCTCACTCACCAACCCCTCGGCGCCTTGATGAGGAGCCCCACTAGCTCCTCCCGAATGGTAAAATGGGATGTCTTCTTGAGCCAATACAACATCGACATCCGTCCTAGGCCCACCATCAAGGGCCAAGCCCTAGCGGACTTCGTGATGGAGTGTACGGCAAGGGCAGCCACGGACGAGGAGCCCTCGACCCCCTCGGATGATTGGTGGACCCTCTACACCGACGGCTCCTCTGCCGTCAAGGCATGTGGAGGAGGGGTGGTTCTCATCTCACCCGAGGGCTTCCGGGCCTATTACGCAGTCCGTTTCTCCTTCAAAGTCTCTAACAACGAAGCCGAATACGAGGCACTCCTCTGTGGCCTTCGGCTGGCAGCTAACATGAAGGCCCGACAGATCCACGTCAAGTGCGACTCCAAGTTGGTCGTTGGCCAAATATCCGGGGAATACGAAGCCAAGGAAGGGAGAATGAAGCAATACAAGGAGGCGGCCAAGGAGTTGCTCAAGGTATTTGAGGCACACTCTCTTACTCAAATATCGAGGGCTCAAAACTCCGAGGCCGACATTTTATCCAAGCTCTCGGCCGAATCCCCAGAGCACATCTCAAAGATCGCCAAAGTGGAAGAACTCAGCCTCTCTAGCATACACGCTAGCCCCATCATGCACATACAACAAAGGCAAGGTGACTGGATCTCAGACATTGTCACCTTCATCACCACAGGGCAACTGCCCGAGGATGAGGCCCGCGCCAAGCTGGCAAAGTTGAGGGCTCCCAGCTACACTATCGAGGACGGAAGGCTTTACAAGAGGTCCTACAACGGGACGTTGCTTCGGTGCCTTCACCAAGATGAAGCCGAAGTAGCGATGGAGGAAGTGCACAGCGACACCTGCTTAGCTCACATGGGACCCTTCTCCATGTCCCGAAGGCTAATAATCCAGGGCTACTTCTGGCCTACGATGGCCCGGGATTGTGCAGATCTTGCCCGGAGGTGTCCCGCATGCCAACACTTCCAGAAAGCCCCCGGCAGGCCAGCGGTCAACTATGCCCCCATCAGCACATCCATACCCTTCGCTCGATGGGGCATAGACCTTGTGGGCCCTCTGCCGAGGGGTACCTCCAACAACAGGTACATCATCGTTGCCATCGATTATTTCACCAAATGGGTGGAAGCTGAGCCCCTCGCCAGCATCACTGAGGCCAGATGCCGACATTTTGTTCTCAAAAACATCCTCACCAGGTTTGGCGTCCCTCAGCAAATCATCTCCGACAACGGGACTCAGTTCGAGGCAGCCCCCTTCTGTGCCCTCCTAGAGGCATGGGGCATCAAACACATCTTCTCATCCGTGGCCTACCCTCATGGCAACGGTCAGGTGGAGAACGCCAACAATATCTTATGGGCCTACCGTACCACCCCTCGGCGGGCAACTAGCGAGACACCCTTCTCCCTTTGCTACGGATTTGAAGCTAAGGCCCCCACTGAGGTAACTCTTCCAACTCGAAGAGTCACACAGTATGATCCAGAGGCCAACGACGCCAATATGGCCCTCGACCTCCACCTGATTTCAGAACGCCGAGAGCAAGCATTCATACGCGCGGAAAACTACTGAAGGCAAGTGAAGAGTTACATTGACGCCAAGGTCCGCTCCCGAGAATTCCAAGTGGGGGACTATGTCCTCCGAAGAAGGGAAGCTAGCCAACCAACCGAGGGCGGAAAGATGGCACCAAAGTTCGAAGGCCCCTACATCGTGGCAGCCATCATCAAGCCAGGAACTTACAGACTAAAACGCCCTAATGGGACTGAAGTCCCTAGGCACTGGAATGTACATCACTTAGTTAAATTTTATCAATAAACTCCAGAGCGGCCAAGCCCTCATAACTAGTGAATGTATTATTTTACGGCCCAAGGCCTAAAAATTCTGAAGAATGACGGCATTTTGAAGACACCAAGAACACGGAACAGGATTCTTACGAAGGGCCAAACCCTCATATCACCCCCTGGCCCAAGGCCTTACCCCAAGGAAGAACCCTCGGCACCAAGTGCCGAGGGTAGACAATACTATCACCTACAACAAAAAGAAATCACCAACTGTCCTCAAATGGAGACCCCTCGGCACCTGGTGCCGGGGGGACACACCACTATCAGCTTTCAACAAATGGGGTGAAACACCAAGTGTTTCCACAAGAAGACCCCTCGGTACCAAGTACCGAGGGTAGACACCACTATCCCCTACGATGAATGAAGGAAAAACACCAAGTGTTTTCACAGAAGACCCCTCGGTACTGAGTACCGGGGGCCGTACATCGGAACAAACACCAAGTGTTGTTCCTAAGCCGTACCCCTCGAGGACGCCTATACCGAAGGCGCCACCTCTCCGTGCCGGCAGCACGTAGTGCCCCCGGCCATTTGCAACCAGTGTGCAAATGAAAACCCTTCCCTGAAACGCTTTCCGCGCCATCACCCCAAGGGTATGGCAGGCACGAGAAATATCCAGGATTCGACTTTCAAAAATGGAACGCTTTCCGCGTCATCACCCTAAGGGTATGACAGGCACGAGAAATGCCCAGGATTCGACTTCCAAACCGAAACGCTCCCCGTGCCACCACCCCAAGGGTGTGGCAGGCCACAGACTATGTCTAGCGCCGAGGGGACGACTTTCAAAACTGAAGCGCTTTCCGCGCCATCCCCCAAGGGGAGGCAGGCTACAGACCACCATATCTTGTACCCAGGAAACGACCCTCGATCCCCTCGGAACTCGGAAGGTTAACCCGAGGGAGGAGTTAATGGTGTATTCTGTTACCTCCCGATAGGCCAAGCCTTACCAAGAAACCAAGTTTCTTGAAGCCTTCCCTTCACCACCAAAAAAAAATGGGTGGTGAAGGGGAGTATCACTTCTACAATTCACGAAAACATATCGAGGGCTCCCCATGGGAACGCCTTCGGTACCTGGAAGCTCATGAGCACGAAGGATACCATTCACGACAGACATCATCAACAAATGACTAAGCCCACTCAATGATTGCCTCCAGCTACACCAACGACAACTCAAAACATCCCCGAAGGGTACTATATGACGAAGCTATCAGATGTGGCTAAACCAGACCAAGAATCACCTTCGACACCTCACTACATGCCGAGGGGATGCATCCAGACAATTCCCGAGGGAGTCTGCCCCTTTTATGCTAGACTTGGATTACAAACTCTCCTATATCAACATTGGGGGGACATAACAAGCAACCAAAGGCTCTTTGTTGTCACGAGCCAACATTACAAAGCAAAGGAAACCATCCTAAACCTACAACATATACAGCCGAAGGGTCCCCCCGAAGGCCAGCAGCAGGAAATACTTAGAGAAAATAATCTAAGTCCTAAATGCTTTGCCCCTTGTGGAGCCACCAGTCAACCGAAGTCCTAAAATAATCTGAGACAAGGCCCTCACATTCACCCGAGGGCTCCTATTTCATACATGCTACACTTAGAAAAATTTCTCTAAGTCCCGAAAGTTTTTACCCTCGGTTAAATCTCCATGCAGCCAGAGGGGCCGCACAGTCAAAGGCTTGATGAAAACACACTTACAAAAATTTCCTAAGTCCTACATATTTTTGACCCTCGGTCAAATCTCCGTGCAGCCCGAGGGGTCACACGGTTGAAGATTTGGTAAAACTACACTTAGAAATATTTTCTAAGTCCTAATTATTTCCGGGCCCTCGGTCATGTATCCAATCAGCGAAGGGTATCCACGTACTGAAGGCTACACAATATCCAAACACTTAGAGATATTTTCTAAGTCCTAAACACCTCGCCTCCGGTCATCTCATGAAGGCTACATAGAACCAGAGGGAAGGAACTGGCCGGGGCCAACAGATGAACAAACACTTAGAAATATTTCTAAGTCCTGAACATTGTGCCCTCGGTGAAAGGTTCAACTGACTGAATATGCTTAGTGGCCGAGGGCTACGAGAAGCACTACACTTGGAAGAATATATTCTAAGTCCTAAACATACATTCAGAAAAGCGAAAACATACATTCAGAAAACGAAGGCATACATTCAAAGAAGGGCGAAGGCATACATTCAGAAAAGCGAAGGCATACATTCAAAGAAGGGCGAAGGCATACATTCAGAAAAGGCGAAGGCATACATTCAAAAAAAACCGAGGGCATACATTCAAAAAAAAACAATCGGAGGAAACGAATTATACACAAAAGCCCGAAGGCCGGTATTCATTCATAAGAAGAATGGAAGAGTTAAAGTATATATTACAATATGGCCGAGGCCGAGAGTACACAGATATCCATTACACAAAAAAAACTTTCAAAACGCTACTAAATACAGGTCAGATATTTTCAGCTCCGGGGGCAGCCTCTTCCGCGGGCTTTGAGATGACCTCCATGCCGACCTCTGCTTCATCTCCCTCGGCCTCTTTCAGGAGCTCAGAATCCTCCAATTCTGGCCTTTCAACGGCCTCGGGAAGGGGGACTCTGATATCAGGCTGGAGGGGGGGGGAGGCCATATGCCGCCGGATCGAAGGCCGCCGGCTCGATCTTCAAGTGCCGTGCAAGCCTTCTGTAGATCAAGGCCTGGGTGAAGAATTCCCCCCCGGCATAATAATCTTCACCCTTTCGGGCTAGCCACATCGCCCCGGTGCCCTTCACCCACCCGTCTGCGGATCCCTCCATGACCGAGGCCACCCAGTCCTTATGGCCTTCTGCCTTCCAACCCTCGGCCATGAAGGCAGCAACTGCACCGGCGGCGGCCTCTGCTTTGGCGGCCTCTGCGTCTTCGAAGGCCTTTTTTGCAGCCTCGACAGCAACCTTCTCCACCTCCGCCTTCTCTTTGGCCGCCTTCTCAGCTTCCTCCCTCGCCTGCTGGAGGTCCCTCTCTAGCTGAGCCATCTGCCTCACAGCTTCGGCATTATCATGAATAAGCTTTTTGAAGGACTCATCCTGTTGCGCCTTCTGGAGGCGCCACTCATCGAACCTCCTGGCGTGTTCGCCGAGGGCTATGCAGGCCTGTTAAAACAAACAACAAAGTAAGGGGGTAAGCTACGATCACGCAACAGATAGAATCATAAGCCACTATGCAAAAAAAAAGAGAAGAAGAAAAGAAGGAGAAGAAACTTACGGTAAGGGAGGACCGGAGGATTTTTTATTCGAGGGCTTCATCGTCGAGCTTTCCGAGGGCCCTCCTATCCAGTGCGGGGGTAGCCCCGCCCAAAAACTCCCGGGGGTCTACGGTGCCATGGGTGATGGTTGCCCCCTTCGGCAGGGAGAACCGTATGTCCTCCCGGGGCAAGCCTGCCTCACCCCCTTGACCCGAGGGCAGGCGGGGAGCAGTTGTTGCCATTTGAGCACTGGGCTCGGAAACGGAGTGCTCATCCACCACCACCACCGGGGGAGCCTTCTTCCCTGCATCCCCCTTCTTCTGCCTCTTCCCCTCGAGGATTGGGGCCTTGCCGGCGGCTTTCCTCTTCCCGGCCTCCTCTGAGGGCTCGCTGCCCTTCTTCAAGAACTCCCCAAGGGGCTTCTGCTTGGTGGGATCCTTCTGGCCCGGGGCCTTGGCCTTCTGTTTTTTGAGGGCGGCGAAGGCGTTGAGATCCATGCTGATACCTGAAAAAGATAAGGACGGTTAAAGCCGGAGGAGAAAGGATACAAAAAATACATCTACGCCTAAATATACATAAGTCTAAGGACTGGAGGCTCTCAGCTGCTACCTCCGGAGGCTCCCTCAAGTGCTGGGAACTTTTCATCCGTTTCCCCCAGGAAGCGATACCGTCGGAAACCAAGGGCGTAGAGGTCCTCCTCTCGAATGCATTCCTTGATGGCTATGTTCTTATCTCTGCCCTCCGGGATCTTTGCCAGGATCCTGCCATCTTTCTCGAGGGCGACGCTCCTCCTCTTTTCATGGTGCCTGAACCGGTCACGCAGCTCCCTCAGGAAGGGGCTCTCGGCTAACTTTATGAAGCACCACCAGTCCTTCCACCCCTTGTTCGAGGAGGGCGCCTCAGTAAACAGCTTGAACAAAGCCACCTGCTGCAAATTCGCGAAGCCCTCGGCATTCGCATGCCCCCCCCCCCCCCCCCGGCACAAGTTGAAGCTTTGAAAGAACAGGTCCAGGCTAGGCGTTACCCCCCGGATTTGCAGAGATGGAGGAAGCCCGCGATGTAGGAGTGGCTGTTCGGGGTCAGTTGGCAGGGGACCAAACCTACGAACTGGAGGTATTCCCGAAGGAAGGGGTGTAGTGGGAACCGGAGCCCCATCGAGACGGACAAGACGTGCACCATAATACAGCCCTCGGGAGCCCGAAGAGGACGTCATCAGGACCCGGTGCCACCACAACGGCCGAGGGGCCCACATGTAGTTGGGTGACATAGAGATCTTCCCTGTCAGCTTTCGACTTTATCTCTAGGGCGGCGGTATTCAAGTAGGAATACCCCTCAGGCATATCGAGGGGCTTCCCTTGGTCTGCGACGCTGCCCTTCTTCTTGGGAGCAGCAACCTTCGCCTTCTTTTTCCCGGGGGCCACCCGGATGGGAACCGCGTTCAATGGCTGAGAGGAGCTGGCCTCACCAGTGCTCCGAGGGGGGAGAACAGCAACGGTGACCCTCGCGCCCTCTTTCTGCGCCTCTTCCTCAGCTACTTGCCAGGCGAGGGCCAGCTCTTCGTCTTCACACTCTTGTTCGAAGCCCTCGGCTTCCGCCTCAGCAACGAGGGCTTTCTGCAACTCCATCGCGACGACAGCATCTTGTCCCGATGAGGGCTGTTCGCTTGTGGACTCCACGTCCGAGATGATTTCCTCCTCCATCGAGGGCGCCCCCGAGATGTCTTGAGAATCACTTTGCAAAGACATCATCTGTGCTAGTTCGAGGGCTCAAGTATGCTAAGTGCTCTAAGCTAAGATTCCTAAGTGTAAGTCCTAAGGCCGCTAAGTACAGCTAGGTGACAAGGGTGGAGGACAAGTGAGGAACTGACCTTGTAACGGGAGTTAGATCGAAGGCGGTTGTTTCTCTCTCTAGGAATTTGGGTAGAGCTTCGCTACAATGATATCGCATAAGGAAAGTGAAGCCGGCCATGGGGTATTTATAGGCGCCTGAATCCGGGCTTGGGTCTGGAAACCGGGCCTCCGGCTGGACTGCCATCATTACGAACCGTGGTTTCACCCAATCGGTGACACCCGCCCACGGGCAGCCAACGAGCACGCACCACGTGGAAGCCTCTCCCCAACGGCTATATTCTGACGTTAGATATTCCAATGGCTATATTTCCAACGGCTATATTCTGGGAGCTCCCGGCTACACTTGACAGATCACTCCTTCATCCACAAAGAAACTAGCCCCCGGGCTTTTTACTTCACTCCACTTCATCAAGAAGAGCCCCCGGGTACACTTACCCAGAGACGCTCCCGGTTTGTGCCCCACACACTACATAACGAATGCCTTCGGGCTCACTCCTTCATAAGCCGACGGCTTCATAACTGGCCCACCCCTCGGGGATCCCCCTCAGCATTTTGAGGGCCGGGTAGCCCCCGGGGAGTACGCCTCATTGACGGACAGCCTACGGCACACAGGTAACGGGACCCCTCGGATACCCTCCTCACCAACTAATCGTCAAACAGGGGACATCCCGGTAACGCTCCAACTACTACTCGCATTCATTACGCCCTCGATCCCCAGATTGAGGGACTCCCTTCGGCACCTTCCAGGACATCAACAACACACCTCCGACTAATCAACACATGAGCCCTCAGGACAAGGATAGCTATCAGCTTCAGCATTGTACTCCATTTCAAACCAGGGCTTCACATTTTCGATTCATCATTGGGGGAATTCGGTGCACTCTTTTTCCCTCATTAGGATTTTTTTCCCAAAGGGTTTTTCCTAATGAGGTTTTTAACGAGGCATCCCCCCAAAATGAAACGAAAAGCGTCAGCCTTCGGCCCAAAACAAGCAACATGATTACCCTACTCCTTTTCACCACTTTGCAAGTGCCTCGAGGAGTGGGGGACTGGGGAACCCCCTCGGGAAAAATCACAAAAATCACAAGCCTGACCCCTCAAGTCCCGACATGTGGGTAACTGAGGGACTGCCCCTGGCAGAATAAACAAACAGCAAACTACCCAATACTCTACAAACTACAACGGAACAACGGCAGAGGACAAACACAATTACTCCTTTTCCCTCAAGTACCTTTCGGCAAAAGGAGTGAGGGACTCCTGATGGGGTATATGGCCCGGGAATCCCCGGCCCACAGACTTCCACTACTCCAATAAAGGCTCAATAGGCCCAGGGAGCACAACAGGCCCAAATCACGGCGCCCAAGGTACCAAGCAGCCCACTACGCGCACCGGGGGGAACCTTCGGTCCCCTGGCCGAAGGCTCTAACTCCCACAGAAGGGCCAAGACAGGAAAACAAAGTTACTGGAAAGAACGGTGAAAATCAGTAGCCCTCGGCAACTGGAGCCCTCGGCACTAGGGGGTCCCATGTACTCAGAGCCCTCGGCTAGTCATCTACAGCCGAGGGCGCCTTTTCCGACATAATATCCGCTCCACATGCGTATGGATCACCGTACCAAGTACGACGTCCCATCCAACAGTCGCATTAAATGCGGCCACATGCGGTTGCCAGCGCCAACCAGTTGAGGTGACTTTTCGGCCAATGGGCGCTTGACACGTGTCCCTGTCCGGCATTTATTGCTACTATAAATAGCACCTCATTTCCCCGTTGTAAACCATGCTAAAAACGCTGAACACTTTCTAATATACTTCTCTCTCTATACTCATTTGCTCTGACTTCTCTCTTGTTATTCCCCGCAATAACCCCTAGGATAGACTACCCCCGGGTACACTATCCATCAACAATGTCATAAGAATGTCAATAAAAAACAATGTCAATGACAATGTCATAAGAATGTTAATGACAATGTCATAAGAATGTCATACGAATGTCAATGACAATAAAATACATTCCTTATTTCTTTGCTTTCAGTTTGTTCGTATGTACAGAGCACTATGATAATGTTGTGACAATGTCAAAGGCACAAAAATTGACACCTTTAATGGAAAAACATTGTTGCGAATTGATTACTATGTCATTATATAACAATGTAATATACAATGTCATTATATGACAATATAATGAGATCATTTTTTGAAAATTAATGTCGTTGTGTGAATGAAAAATTAAACTTAAATATGTGATAATGTTAACACAATTTATGAGCACTAATTGTTAAAAATATGAGATTGCCTATTGCGATAACATTGACAAATTGTCATTGTTTAAAGTATGACAATGTGATCACCATTTAAAGTATGACCGTGTCTTTGTTTAATGTCGTAGTGCAAGATATATATACTTTACCAAAATTATTTTAGTAAAAAAGATTGTATTTCATTAGAATCCAATTAGTCTTTTCCCAAAAAAAGAAAAAAAAAATCCAATTAACCCAGTTCATTACTGATATGCAGCGCTCAGCTTTTTCGGCCGAACAGTACCCTTCGTCACCGCGGTTCATCTGCCGTTAAGAACGATGAGCTAGACGGTATTTCGGCGGGAGAAACGCTAGACTTCGAGACCTACTCCACCGGAGCCACATGGACGACAAGGAGAGATCTGTCTTTCTGGCTCTTTCTTTCAAGAAAGGGGATGATAAAAACAAAGGAGATAAACAGGTGGTGCGGTAACAGAGAGTTCCTGACACGCCGGAAAGCCGATTCCTTCCACGGCCGGAGGTCCGAATTGCATAAAACCGAGGAAATAAACGGCGCTCTGATTTGTCGTACCAACCGGCCTGTTTTGGTGCTAACGAGAAAGATTGAACCTTCTAAATGGGGTGGAAAATATTACGGAAGAAAAACTGAGGAAGTCCAGAGGTGCGATGGTTGGCCATCGTTCCTGTTTCGGCCGTCATCACTGGTGTCCTGATCCGCGCGAGAACAAAGATGCCGGAGCGGAGATGAGAAGCTTGTTAGATGAGAATGCAAGAGATTGGAATTTTGGAAAAACACAGGCAGCACACATCTCAAACATAACGCCTACAATTAAATCAAGGGCAGTTTTGGTATTGAGTAAAAAATAAGTCCTATTTCGATATAAAAAAGTGAGTGATCCTATCCTGTGTATTTAAGTAAAGTTACGGTCTTATTTAGGACCATTTCTCTTTTAAAAATGTGAATGATTAGCCTTCAATAATAGCATCCAAAAATATCAAAATGATGACATTAGAAGTTCTTATTACACTTATACAACTCAAATTATTGGAGATAGGTCTCAGAGTTAGAAGGGGTTAAAATGAAAATATGACATACTACAGAGATTTATTCAAAAGAAAAAACAAATTTAAACTGATGATAAACCGTCAACAATGTGTGTTTAAACTATATTCAACAAGGCAATAATATACATCACCAATCCCAATTCCCAACATACGTAGAGTAGAAACTCAATATTTTGTTCATTTGTATTTAGGTTTGTAAATTCTTTCATGGAGACAGCTTGTCCAAACATTGTTGTGCATTCAGTTAATAGAAAATTGGGCGTTAAGGAACTGTTTGGAAATCATCTACTCCGTATTAAACATTTAAACGTTGTTTACATGTTTGGCACAATCTGGCTGAACTGCCTCAAAAATTATCTTATTTCCTTTTCAAAAGTCAGATGTGTTAAAAACCCATTTCAATAAAGTGTATCTAGTTTAAATTACTACGTAGAAAACAATTATTGATTAAAAATATATAATATATCCATGTGTATAGCAGCACACCCGTTATTTCGGTGGAAATGCTCTAAAAGGGAAGATTTGTCAATTGTCACGTGTTAGATCCTTTTTGGATGGTTTGACCAAGTTAACGTGACTAGTCTAATGACTCTAATCAACCTGTTGGGTCAAAAGCAAAGAGCTTGGCCTGATAAAAAAGTCAATTAAACTAAAAAATTAAAAAGGCTCCTATTAAATAGTTTCAGACTCGATAAGATTAGAAAGTGTCATATTAGATCAGAAAAATTCAGATGACATAAGATTAATAACATACAAATCAAGTCAAAATATTACATCATAAAAATTCAGATCAAATAAGATCTTAAAAAACTCAAATCATATTCAAATCGACAAACAAAACAACTTCTAAGGTTTTCTTTTGGCTTTCCATGCGTGTCATTGATGCATTTATTCTTTGTTTTTTCTTTTCTTGTCTGTAATTATTTCTCACAAATCTTGCTTGCTTGAATTCCATCCCGTGATTTTGATTAACTAATGTTATCCCCTGGCTTATTAAATATATCCCAATACAATTGGCTCCTAAATAATGCCCATTGACATGGTCATAAATCATAATATAGTTGGTTTTCATCAAACCTATCACAGATTTATCCGCAATCAACAACAAAAATACTTTGTTTGAAACACCATAAACGGCTTATGACTAGTTATTAACTTTGATAGACTCTGGCTTGG